AAAACCCACAAGCCCAAGAATATTTATAATAAGCCAACGATTTTTCGCAACTGAAAGTGACTCGCGTATTCGCAAAAATTCTATATCTTTTTTCAGTAAGATTAAGAAAACTCGTCATCACTGTCTAATTTAATAAAATCCCTAGAATGTTCGCGAAAATTGGATTTATCAAATCATCGTACGGCGACATATATAGGTAGGTGTGTTCATTTTTTACGCCATACGTTACGCTACCAAATTACCTCTATGCTGTATCGTTGCGCTTTGTTGGAATTTATGAAGGCGTGTTAAATGTCAGTGTCATAATAAACATTGCGTTGAATAGGCAGAGGAAGTTAAAATAACACGACATTCAAATACTCAAGACTATGGCGTGTTATACTAACGTTAACAGAACTGTTGGTGTTGTAGTCGTGTTAAACAATTCACATTTGAATAACAGCTAATGTAGTGAGCACGCTGGTTTTGTAGCCGTCACCATTTCTGTGGTTTTGGATTCGATTCCCGAACACGATAATAATAGAGACCGAACATCACAATAATTATCTTTTGTCGGTCGAGGTATTTGTGATAGAATAAAGTACCTAGTTTATTTTATTCAAATGACTCAGTAACGTTATTTCATAAGCAGAGACAGAATACAACGTAGGTATTTAGTACAAGTTTAATTTTAATTTATTAATATGAACATTACGGCTATTGGGATTAGACGTACAAAAAATATAGGAGGAATAATATGTCTTCAGATCACATTCTCTTTAAAAATAAATTATTGCATGGCGATGGTTAACTAACTTGAAGTACAAAATTCAGAATTCAGATGAACGATGACAGTTTAGGCATTTTGAATTTACAAATGTCATGCGACAGTGACAGTCGATAAGGTAAACATATTTTTATTTGATGAGCTTCACTTATGGAATACAGAATAAGTTTCCAGGTACAGGACAACAGAACAAGAGTTGTATAAGCTATCAACACAAGGACATGATTATTTTTTTATAGAACACTTAGCCAATAATATCATGAATATCGACATATACTGTTTATTAATGCAATGTAATCCTTCTTCTCCAATCCAATCTTTAGTGATTTTTGATAAATTTATTTTGATTACGTTTTAATAAATTAATATTATTAAAAACATCTCTGTTCATATAATGCATGTTGTGGTCGCCGTAAATAGAATGTACAATATATCTCGTTTTATGAAATTGTGTTACATATGTTATTTCCTCTATGTGGTGGACCTCCGTGGCCCGAGCCAGCCTACTCAGAAGTGCCGGTTCGCATCCCGGTGGGGAAAATGTTTGTGTGATGAATACGAGCATTTGTACCTGAGTCGTGGACGCGTATATGTATTTCCAAATAAAAATATATTAACAGTACATGTTTCAGTACATATATTTATTCTATCCGTTATACACCAGTATCCCATAACATTAGCCTTACAGTGTACTTTGGGGGTAGGCTAATTGGTATGTGTCTTAGAAAACTTTATTATTTATGTATCTTTCACTGGTGATCCTAAATAAATTTCAGCCGTATGACTCCTAATATTTAGCCTCCTCCAAGGATTTCTACATCGATCGGTCCAGTGCTGTTCGCATCCAGCGGCATCCCGCGACCTTCACTAGATAGTCGGCCCACTGAGCGTTATCCGGAGCCTGGTAGCCATTCGAGAACTTAGAGCATATAGAACCTTTCCGCCCCAACGGCCACCGGACCTACTCGCTGCGTGTCTCGCCCACTGCCACTTCAGCTGAGTAATCTTTTGAATGATGTCGGCTAATTAGTTTTTTGTTATTTGAGATTCTATCTATACTTATAAAGGAAAATTTCAATCATTGATCACTCCATTGCTCGCTGGACAACCTTGTGCCTTTCGTGAGACAGGGTGGCTATAAGCTCGATTGCCGATTCTTTACATAAAACAATTAGGGAACAGAGATGCAGAAAAGGAATAATTACAGGTCTAGATTTGTTTCTTTTTATATAAAATTTATTTATTGAAATTGGAAGCAAAATACAACTCTTTGGAATCGTCCACATTTTAAACCGCTGAAGGAACGAATTTTGAAGGAATTCCGTTGCTTCACCGGTTCACATAGCGGGAGAAAACCTGGATAGAGAAGCACTTTGTGATTGTCGACTACAAACGGATAGATATCCTGAATTCGATTCGATCTAGAAATGCTTACAATAATCTTACGCAAACAGTACAATTATTTTATTGTATCATGCCTACGTAAAAACGCAAATAAATATCATAACAAGGTCAAACAAAAAAATGCAAGACACGTAGATTCTGTGTGAATGGTGTCCGGTTGGATTTTGTACCGGAACAGTTAGTACAATGCAATTAATACTTATTATAGTTATACATACATAATATGCAAACCACGTTTTATACATACTCTGCAAGAAGTAATGACGCGATTCTAGTAACTTTCACTCATTTTTAGTCATTGTTAATTTGGTCAAGAACACTTGCTTTTTCTATAAGTCATTGTAAATATTTACTCTTCCTCCTACAACTAAACATATTATTGATTTATATGTAGGTACTAATTTACAAAGTGTAATAAAGATTTTCGAAATGAGCATATCCTTGTAGAGTCCTATAGTATTTTAATCCTATTATTCAGATTTTCTTAAATTATTACAGAGTATATTAATTATTGTTCGATGACAGAATAGATAAAAAAAATGGTTTTAGCTTAGCCATTTCCGCCATCAAAAAAGTTGTGGTAACTATGGTATTTGAATTTATTAATGTGAGCTAGCGAATGATCCGGTTTAGAAGTTAATATAATGCATGGTATAAAAAAATATCTGAACCATCCTTTTCTCGTTTGTCGTTATTTATGACAGTTTTTTTTTTGCTAACTATACAAGAGAGATGGACATCGGATTTCCCGCTCGAATTTGATCTCCCGTCTGGGGAAGCAACCTCTTCCTTACCACCACAGTAAAATAACACAAAATTTTGGTGGTATTTGTTTCTGCTGGTGAGTAGGGTCCAGGGCTTCGCGGGGTAGGGGATTGGATTCAAGCCGGCTAGTTGAGAATGGCTGGAGCGGCACACTTTCTGCCGCATCACCTTTCTTCTCGACTGGATTCCACTTGTACTCACCACCAGGTGGGGTAAAGTAATTTTTTGCGCTTCGTTCGTTTTATATTATGTTGCAATAGTAATCATATCACCACATTTAGGTATAATCATATACGCATATGTAATTCGTTTGCACTGTGACTTAATTGTTACCTCTCTAGTGACTTGCGCTGGCGATGATGAAGATGAAAAAGCGAAATGCCCATCACTCATCATCACCAAGTCCACGTTTTTTAAATACGTATTTTTATTTAATAATCGCAAATAAATTTGTCTGGGCTTACATAAATAGATTAGTATCTTTATCCGCGGAATGAGAAATTTTTTTGGACATAGTTTTCAACCGGGAATCGATCCTAGAAAGGCATTGTCAAGGACGCTGCGTTTGCGTACTTACCTCTCGCCAATGGGAGTCGTCGATTGTGACATATCTAAGAAAATTAATAAATATCTTACCTACCATTCATAAATAACAATCGGACACTTAATTAATTTCCAATTCGTACATAAATATTCCTTCAGTAACCGACAAGCCTCGAGCTACATATTAAAAACAAAATAAAACACGGACCACGTGCCATTGCCTCCGCCACTATATAAATAACGTATACATTTCCCTATGGTCATATAACTTGATACAAACAACACAGGTATACCAGAGCCGCAAGTATGTATAGTAAACTAGTGTCCATTCATAAGAAGCGGTTCATTCATGCGGCTGTAGCGGTGAATGGGAGCGAGCGAGACGGCGCACCGGTAAGGTAGCGTTACAATAGGTCTCTTTCAATGCCCATGAATGAGTTGAAATCCTGTTCTTGGAAATGTGTTGCATTGTTTTGTGTTAAAACAATTGAATGGTGGCCGGCTGACTTGTTCGGTGGAGTGGCTGTTTAGGGAACCACTGTCGTAATTAACATCCTTCAAAGGATTTAGGTTGGATTAAACTGTTGTTGTTGAGTGGGTGACTATAAAAAATCTAAATGCTAAATCCCAAAAAGAAAAAAAAAACTATTTTTAATTATTGTAAATTACTAATTTGGGTGAGACTGTACCATCAATCACTAATTAATTTAATCGCTTAAATTTTATTTTCATTTTAAAAATCATTATGACGTTTTTATGTATTAAAAAAATATGAAAATTGAAAGATGATCAAGTCAGTCTACATTACTGCATGTATACCTAACTACTGCATAAATACTAATAAAAGTTATAGAAGATGGCATAGTTCAATACAATTTTTTGTCTTGAGATAACTTAAACCTAACTTAGCATTCTTGTGAACACAGCTTTATATTAGAGCAACAAGATTGTGTAAAAAAACATCGTCGGTAGGAAGTCAACCCGAGCGCAACCAAACGCTCTTGATCGTTGAAACGAAATGGAGGGAATCCGATTATTTGAGAGAAAGCTGATTTTATTTTATAACGGTTCTGAAAAAAATTAAAGCTGCTAGATAAGAAAAAGCAAATATTTAATTAGCACAAAAACATTGCAATAAATTACAACACAATATTCTCATGATAATTAACAACACAAATAATATAAGTTAAGAAGATAATAACAAAAATGAATACAAAAAAACGCCTTCTACTGATATTTAATTTGTTTTAATTTATTACAGAAGAGAAGTGTATTTGTACAATTAATCGAAAGAAGCTTTAAATATACTCTTTTTTAAATTACTATGGTAATTAAATATTATAAAACATCCCAAAGCATTTTATCTAAATGATACACAAAAGAGTGTCCGTTTCTTTTTCTCGTAATTAGCGCTCAAAAGAGGGTTTCAAGTATCAACTTGCGCGGCCGCCGTGTAAGGTGCTTACAGAGGCGCGTAGGCCAAACTTGTACCTGCTCCGCGCCAGTCCAAGCTTGACTTGAACGACGCGCGGAGGTGACACCCGCCACGAAACTCGCATACAAACTCGATAACACACGTCTGTGAGAATGCAAGTGCTAGCACCTTTCGTACTCGTGTGGCTGGTAGGTGGAGTGAGAGCCGTTATCAGGACACCTTTGGAGGCCTTCCGGCCTTCGGGAGAGATCCATATAAGGAGGCCTGATAAGCTGCCGCTGCTGCCGCACAGGAGAACTACGTTGCCGCCAAAAAGCGGCCTTAAGATTCTGTATCAGACTGGGGTAAGTTGTGCTCAAGTTGTTTCTAGGTTCTTCACATAACGATATTTTTCATATTATTTCTTTACAGCGTTCATTCCATTATGTCATGTTTACGAAGTAGGTAAATGAGTTGATTGAGTTAAAGTGAGGTTAGGTAGGTACTTACTATGTAATTGTGGTGCATTTTGTATAGTAAAGTATTTATAGACTTTGGAAAGAAAATTAGCCACTAATATTAATAATAAAACGAACTTACATGTACGTGAAGTTCTATTATAATTAAGTGAGCTGCTCAATTCGAAGCGATTTATTAATTTGTAGTAGTCTGCCTTAGCACCTACGGCCACGATAGTCTAAAGCGAGAATTTAAAAAGTTTTTCGACAGCTCCTGTCTCTACTCAGTGCGCGCCAACATGAATGTCATTATGTTTAAAGAACCCTGTAAATGAACAATATCTAGTTAAATTAGTTACAAATTGCAAAACTGATTTCAGTCGGCTATCATGGAGTAGGAAAATTGAAAAAGGATGCGTGATAGCCATTATTCACTTCGAATTGAGATGCTCACATAATTATAATAGAACTTCACGTACAGGTAATTTCGTTTTATTGTTAATTATGCTTCGCAGCTCAATTCTCGCGATAAATTAACTTGTAGATGTTTAGAGAACTAAAATCAGAATTGGTGATTAATTCTATGAAATATAAAAAAGAAACAACTCAACAAGTCAAAGCTCCATAATCAGGTGTTTATAGATATACTTAATTAAATATATATAAAAAGAATTATTCTAATTTTTTGGATGAATTGTTTTAACTTAATGTGTTGAGTGCAATTTTGGGATCTAATTTAATAATTGAGAGAGAGTATACAAATGATATAATTTATTCCACAAACAATACGGGTCTTCAAGGTTAGAAATGTTTGACAAGTTGATAATTGTAATTATGTTTATTTCATTATACAATCATACTACAATAATATGCTACAATAAAAAAAATAATAGGTTCTATGATCAAGTGTCGTAAAATATTATTTATAGGTAATTAATTATTAATTTATTTTTGAATCAATGATCAATTACAGTAGCAGCTTACTTAGTATTTAAGTATTATCTAAGCAGAAAATAGAGCAAAAAAAATACTATGACTGTAATCAATTTCTCTATTATAAAATCTGGCACATAGCGATGAAAGTACCTACTTATGTTCCAACAGCTTTTCTAAAATACACAATACATTGATTCCAAAGTAAAAAAACATGCAAAGAGTTGTATGTTTTGTTATTCTATAAACAATAAGTAAGTACATTAAGTAAATTTGACCAGTTGATTATCTCTTTACTCTTTTGGATAGTTTGACTAGTAACCACTGAGAGTAGTTACCTAAGATATTTGATTTATATATTAATCTCACATTATAAATTACATATTAGTATATTTTATCAATTCTTTATCTTCTTTTTGACAAAATTCGCTTCTTTGAGTAATAATTTTATTATTTTTGAGTGTTACGAGCAAGTGTAAACTAATAGCAATATTAATAAATCAACAAGCTTTTGTAAAAACAAGGAACCATGGAGCCAGCTCTATTCTATTTCGCTGGCAACAATTATTTAATGACTTCAATTTTTATTGTAAACCGAGAAAATTAATAAAATTAAAAAATATTCCAATGTTTACTGCATTTGCACAAGAAAACCAAAAGCAATATATCACACGTTGCCTACTTGCAAATAGGTAAATATTATCTTTTTACAATAATTGTGATAGAGACCTGGTTCTTTTGCAGAAGTTCTCTGTAGATTAATGATGTTGACTCTGCTAACAACGAACTGAAACTTCTTTCTTTTAATTAATACTTGATTGGTCTTGGTAACAGCCATGAAAGTTCAAAACATGTCTAGTAAAACTTCACTAAAAACCCATATTGTAGATTCTTTTATAATATTACTGTTAAAAGTTTATATATGAATTTACTTCGTCATCATGTCAATATAAGTAGCAACCCACACAATAGCTGACAAGCGTTCCCTCCCTTAATGGTTTAAAACAAATTTATTGATAGACTGTTGCAAGTGATAAGAGTGTTTCATCATTATCGCAATAAAATTGACGTAAGGAATTAATGTAATAAGGCGCTCTGCATTAGCATTCTCATGAATAGAGATCAGCTTAGGTTTTTTGGAAAGTAAATAAGTCATAGGATTATATTTGATGTTATTTCTTCTGTAATTTTGAAGTACGCGAAGGAAACAGCCCCATTGTGCTGTTCGCATCACAAAACCTGTTATAGGAATATAATTTGCAAATGCCCAAGTAAAGCGAAGTATTGCTCGCATCACAAAATAAGTCATAGGATTATATTTTAAAGGTATATTTCCGTTCGAGAGATTGAATGCCCTGCTTTAGACGCACGCTTACCAAAAGAGTTCCGTTTTTCTAACTCTGTGTGCAGAACTCTAAAAACCTATGATAGATATACAATTAAATGCTTTTTAATTACAAAATCAAAAACTTCTTTGAGTAAAACCTAACCCAATGAACACAATATATAAAGATTAAGTTGACACCTTAAACTTACAAAAATATGGTATTGGTATATTTCTTGACCATTTCTCAAATTGAATTAGATCTGTCGAAACAATACAAGTACGAAATTAAGTTACAGATCAAACGTCACTTCTTTGAAGTGAAGTAATGCCAATAGTTCTAGGTGTATCGGTCAGTAAAATAACACAATTACTGCTTGATTAATGATTTAAGAAACAAAGTCACGATATTCTTGAACAATGTGGATTTTAGCGAGTCAATAATTATTGCAACCAGTCGAAGTCGTGACCGCGCAGTTGAGAATATTCATAAGATTTCGTTGTATCAATCGAAGAACGTCAACTAATTCTGCAACAACAAAAGGTTTTAATTTCGAGATAGGATTACGTTATTTCTTCGTAAGTTCCGCCATTGAGTGGATTGTGTAGCAGAGTTGTTCTTTACCGAGCCAAATATAACGATTTATTTGAAATTGACCCCTCATACTTAAAGCTATTATGAAGGAAATAGGATACGATAATAATCCAATGTATTGCCAACCAGTGCCCATAAATGAAAATAATATGTTTTATTCCACCATCTTTTAGAAGTCATCCAACCAATTTATTAAAACGTGAGGCATCGCGAGATCTCCTCAAAATTCGTTTCATATAAGCACGATTAGTTTGTTTCTATAAGCTTTATTTTGATGGTATTTAAGTATCTAATTCGCTTCGTAAGTGTGAGGATTATAGCGGTGCCTACAGCTCTAAATGGTTTCGACGAAGGGCCTCACCCAACAATTAACTCGTTCCACACTTAAACACTTATAAAACGTCCTATGACTAATAGTAATAACACAGCAAAAACAAGTCCAATACAACGGAAGCAACTCAGATACCAATATAAGACAATATCCGCCAAACGTTATAAAACTAATGAGCGTATCGATGAATATTAAATCAAAATAATTATATTTTCCAACTGTAAATAAAAAGTTCCGGATGTCAAGCCGTAGAGGTATCTGTCGTATTTCAAAAACAATGATAATCATTTAAATGGCTAATTTCGAAGTCGATTCGAGAAGATAATCTCTCTGGTCTAGGTCCGTAATTGCGTCCGTTCAATAATAAAAAAAAAGTGTTGGTGTACGATTCAAAGACGACGGTATAGATGAGGTGTATAGGGTTTAAAATCAAAAGTTTCGTGTTGGGATATTTGAAGATGGATTATAAAATCGGTGCGGTGCGCGGGTGCGCGCGTAACACGGTGGCGGCAGGTGCTCATTCACTCATTCTTATCTTGACAGCTTCGATGACTTACGGTTTGGTCCCGTCCAGACCCGTGTGTGCTGTTTGGATAAAAAAAAACCTTTTTTCTCTCCTCCTTAATGTCGCCTTTAAGCTCATTCGTAACGGTAACCTTCTTTCCGAACAATCTCTCTCTGTAAGGAATGGAATTTAAAGTTATTTTTACGGTTTTGGAGTTCCGTATTGAGATTAAATAAATTAATCACACATGCTTGTTTACCTTAGTAACATGCCGTTAATTTATATGTCTTTTAATTGTATACATACAAATACAAACTACAATTCAGTTTCAGGACAAGAACCAAATTCTTATTCATATTTTAGTCTATCGATCAATTATACATATTTGTAGGTTTTATATAAATACAATCATTTAAAATCACAATTTATTACTGGACCAATACATTTATCTCTATTTATCTTCTAGTAGTAACTACATCACGCATTCCTCTCTCATCCTTCCCACACATACGTTACATACGGAACTTGCTACTTTATACGTCTCAAACTTTGTAGCTTCTTTAAATCTTATTAAACTTTATGCGAGAGCTTAAATCCTGACAGATATACGAGTGTACGTTTTTTAGGTCCAGCATTCATAATTATGTTTATGATGGTCAATGATTTGGACACAAAGCATGGATCGCTACGGATACAGCGAGCGACAAAGGAATGGCGGCATTTTTCAATAATTAAACATAGACGACCCAGCGGGAGTTGGCTTTGTTATTGTACGATATAAAAAAGTAAGTCGAATGGCGCATAGAATGGAATTTGTGGCGGTGCAATGTCTATATATGGTCAACGATTGGGATGTAGCCAAAGCATGAATTAATATTATTTACTTAATTGTAAACTGCAGTATTGTTTTTTTTTGTGCTGTTGGTTGGTTGAGACGGCGAGACCTCAGGGCGAGAATTAAGTATTCCAGGCGGATGGCATCTTTCTAAGACCACTGAAACCTGAGTCCTGTAGTATTGATATGACCTTAGTGAATGATATTCACATGATCCAATTACGAAGGTCCAGTGGGTAATAGACCTAATAAACACTGATGCAGATTCAAAAGCGCACCACTTACCTATATAAAATCATATTTTTTACGAACAATTTACTTATAAGTGTATCTGTAGATACTTACAAACAAAAGTAAAAATTATATTTATTAGCATTTAAGTTA